ACCTTGTAATGGATAATTTCATCATCGTTTTATTGATATATACACGTTCGCTACAAGATAAAATTCTATAACGGTAATGTAATCTTGACACTTTGATATTTACAATTCCTGCTGTTATCTCGATTTTCTCTCTGATATACGTATGTATGTACATGTTCAATCACGCATTTCATTTGCCACGTACGCGAATGCTTTTCACTCGGATTAGATGGCTGCCGACCGGTGGGTGAAACCGCCTGTCAAGATTTTCTGGGGATTTTGCCGAGTTGGGAATTTTACTACGCCGTGTCCTAGATGACACGCACCTTGACGTCATGTCATGAAGATAATTGGGTGCATAGCATTATTAACTGGTATGTCGGATGAACGCGCCTGTCGCGCGTCAACGTGAATGGGTGCTAAATGTTAACCCGCTATTCATGGAATCTATATCGAGCTAGAGATGGAAATAAATATGCGTATAGAATACATATCGCCCATCTCTTCTTATATTTGCGTACAAAACGTTTAAATAGAAGCTAAAGAGTTTACAAATTGAATTATTATAGTAATTACTGTCGAAATTAAAATATCATACTCTTAATGAGAAAAAAAATCGCTATTACTTTACTGATAATCACTTTCTGAGAAATCATAATTAAAAAAGGGAGCAATATTAACATTTTTGTTATCTCCAAAGTATAGTGGAGTGTATATTTTCTCCCGCATTATATTATCCAGACAATCCATCACACTTTACAGATGATCCACAAGCAAGGAGCGACGCTACCATTCTTTCCGGCGTGCGCAAATTGCTGATTATTAATCTAACGACGCGCTATCTTTCCCCGAGAGCGTAGTCCGATGTGCGTGTTCACCGCACTTAAACAGAAAATCGTCGCTCTGGGCGGCGTGGTGTAGTAGAGACTACAGACACAACGTAGACGCAGAAGAGGAGGGCGAACGATGCGTTCCGGGCTCTTCTTCTCTGCCGTGGGCGATCATAGAGTCGAGTTAGCGGGCGGCAGGGAAAGGAAACTGTTACGAGATCGATTCGCGGTGGAGACCAATTAAATCGTGATCCACTGCGTGCGGATGCAATGTTGGCTGAGATCCTGCTCGCAGATATAATCTCCTTCTTCGTCGCAATAAATCGATGTAGGTAAATGAGTCGCGGCGCGGCACAGCGGTGGTTTCTACCGCGGGCTGTCTTCCGTCCTGCTTTCTTCTCGTTCTATTGCCCACTTACACTCCCTGGCCGCGAAAGAGAAGACTGACCACGTTGCTGCTTGTCGACGTAAACACACGTTGTGGCACACCGTTGCTCTCTGCTTCGGGAGTCCTCCTCTTTGCAGTATC